CCCCCCCCCCTTATTGTCTCCAAGTACAAAACTAAATACCCTTTCTTAAGGGAATTTGTCAAGAGTGAATAAGGGGGAATCGTGTATTTTGCCGGAAGGCCCTTTGTGGCCTTTGATTCATATAACATATAAGACATCATTGAAAAATCCCAAATGAGTAGTTATTCACGTCTGAGTTGGAGAGCTCATCACAGAAGTCTAGATCTGCAGTTTATTTAAAAACCATGCAATGGTATTTGACAACAACTAGAAAACTAGATCAGGAATTCATAGTACCAGTGTCTTCTGCTCCTAGGTCTCCTGTTCTCTACTAAGCTGATTTAGCTGGAGGGGGTGGAGGTGGTGATGGTGTCGCTGACATTGAAAATCAGTGATTCTTTAAAGTTATGGACTGTCTAAAGTTTTTCTAGTGGGGTTGTGGATCTGTCTTAAGACTTCATCAAGTGTACAGACCTTTGGCTATTTTTAAGTTGTCCAAGTACTTCCATTGACTGGAAAAGTTGCTAGGTTAATGCTGTAGAGAGATGCAGAGAAACTGAGGGCTAACAACATGGGATACAGAAGCTATGTAAAACAAATTAGGGCCTATACTGCATTGACATCTGTCTAGGTAGACAAAATGTCCATAAAATCTATGACTCTAAGGAAAGTGCTTCTCTTCCTGTATTTAAAAGAGGCAGCACAGATATAAAGGGTTACAGCACATATTTTTATGTTTATACAGATATCCCCTTTCCCTGTGGGCTGTTTGCATTGGCCTTATATGGGCAGAAAGTCTTGCTTCTCTGCCTGCGTGTGCTTCCTGAGGAAGACCTGCCAGACCTTTCCGATGTTATGTGGGTGATTGTGTGCTCAGATTATTTATTGAGAATCAGGCATGGGAAGCATTGTCAAACATCCCCAGGTAGCTTACTTCCCTTCTGTGAAGAGAATAAAGCCTGTTGTGTATTTCTGCAAAAAATAATTGCAGGTCAGAGATTTTGCTCCCAGACAACAGACTTTGCCTGAAAGATTCTTGGCACCAGAGGTTCAGGGGTCAAATGCTTTGATGTCAGGAGTGAAACGTTCCTTCACAAAACACTAAAGTCTTAGAATAAGCAGATGGTTTCATGCGGAAACTGCCGAAGCATACAGTAATCTCACAGGTGACTCATACCTTATTTCACAAAAGCCATAGCAAGAACTGTTTAGGAGCTGTAATTACGGGTATGGATTGATATCCCATTGACTAGCTTTTAAGTGAATTAGGATGCAATATACTACTGTTGACAGCTTTCTTGAAAGGAAAGATTTATTAGCTTGCTTTCTGGTTGAGGGTGAGGAGCTGATTTTGGTTTATGTTGGTAGCCAAGAGCCCAAAAATTTTCATCACAAAATAAGCTGCTTCTGCAGCTTGCAAACTTTCTAATATCAGTGGGGGCACTGAGGTGATGTAGTTGGTTTAAGAGCTTACAAGGAAACGAGTAACAAAGAATTTCTGCCCCACAGTGTTTTGTGTTCCTGGAGAAGGGGGTAGAATGTCTGAGTTAGCACCAGAGTTCTTCACAAAAACAGCTCTCTTCAGTGTTTGCCAAGAGCTAAAAACTAGTGAGTTTAGTCAGAAGCCTAATCAGAAGGCACCAAGGTTTAAGCAGAGCCATAGACATTTTCTGCTCTTAAAGTTACAGTAAACTGTAGCTTCTCATCTGTGCGTAGGCAATTCTTTTAGCCAACTAGTTTTATGTAACCTGAATAGTGAGGTTATTAACCTGTAATTAGTGTCAGGTTGGTAACCCAAATGGTAGTGCTCTGCCACAGTACACCTCAGCTTATTGCTGCTGGAGTAACTGGGGTCCGGCCACAACTTCCTGCCTGCAAGCTCTCCCACTGAAACATCGCCTCATTCACATACAAATGTCCTGGGAGGAAACCAAGCATAGTGTTTCCTTACCATAAAGACCTGAAGAGACATGGGTAGATCTATCTTAGACAGAGGACATGAATACTCCTAATTATTTTAACTGATTATTAATTATTAATTTGCTAAACGCCGCATTCATTTCAGCTTATGGTGACAAAATGTTGTTTTTTGCAGAGAGAGGTGGACTCTTCAGGGGTAACAGTGCTTGCAGAATATCTGTCTAGCTGTCTGAGAAGTAATAGGAATACCTCTGTGAATACACTCACAAGATTTATGTGTGTTTGTATCCATGCCGTGATCACAGCACCATTTGTGCAGAGGCCCTGTGAAACATCACTGATGCTTTTTTTTTTTTTTTTGGGGGGGGGTAGGAGGCGATGTGTGTGTTTTGTTTTGTTCATAATAGGTAAGAGTTGTAGGCATGCTGGAAGTGGTGTGGTGCAGGAAACGGTACAGTAACACAGCTAGCTCCCTTGTCCTGCTGGCAGGTGGTGTCAAGTGGATGCTCTTGCAGAGCTTGGAGGTGCCTCAAGATAATAAGGACTGTCCTGCAAAGCAAGGCCCTTGTTTCCCTGTGCATAAACATCATGAAACACCTGGTGTTTCATTGTTACCATGGAACACTGAAAGAATTCTCAAACTTCAGTTTGTGAAACACAGAATAGATTTAATGACTCTCTTTTTAATGAGAGATTCTCTTTTCTCCATTCCACCTGCTGGGTTTGGTTTGAAGTTGAAAATACCTTGTATAACTTTTCACTTCCCAAGTTTCTTTATCTTTAAATAATTTTTAAAAAGATAATTCTTTATTTTTAATTGGTTTTTCAAGAATATATACTCTAAACTCTTCATTTTTTCACCTGTCATAGAATGACAGTGTTTGGAAGTGTTAATAAAAGAATGTAAGTTTTTTCTTAGTAGATACACTAATCAGGTCTTTGAAAAGAATTTATGTTCCAATAAACCCCCAGTTGATATTTATCTATTTTGAGGTCTTTTACAAGTGGAATAACCACAGAGAACTTTATAAATGTATCATCCAGATATGCAACTTTATATTCAGAAAATCTGCAGTCCACATTAAACCCCAATAACAAGGCATCAGAATAAGATGAAAGGCAGAAAGTATGCCACAGCTGCAAATATTGGTCACCCTTCAAATATTTAAACCAAAGTGTCAGTATTCTCAAGAGTCATAGTGTGATATAATAATGTAAAATTCTGTTTAAAATATTGCATCAGTACATTAAATAAAAAGACAAAAGAAATAGAAATGGGCACTATGCTTTTCTAAAACTTCATAGTTTGATATACTACAAGTTATGGCCCAAAGGGGGGATAATTTCAAGTGGAAGTGGTCTTAAAACTTCTGGTGGTGCCATGGCAGTTTATGATTCTGTCTCAGAGAGCTTCTTTTACGTAGTGTTTATATTAGAATTCTGGGTATTTGACTGTGTCAGCTTTAGTGGCTTTAAAGACTGCTGGTAAAGTTTCTTGGTGTCCTTTGATCAAAACCACAATATCTTTACATGTTTTGAAAAGCGCAGATACTATTCATTAGTATGAAATATCTGATCAGTTATAAACACTAAAAAAAATTTCTCAAAAAATAACCTGTTAATGGGAAGTTTGCAAAAAGGGCTAAGTTTGGTCACTTAACTGTAAATTTCATAAATCCAGATACTGATTTAGAAGACAGTAAGTAATGAGTAAAAAGCCACACCATGCCTAGATTAACAGATGCTTTTATATGTAATTTAAATATACACATATACACGTTTATTTGGAGGAAAGTTTTGTCTCCAATGAAAAATGAAGCAAGAATTAGTAGACAGTAAACTCAGTTAAATCACTCCAGACAACATTGTTTTCTGCTTCTCCTGGCAATCCTGAATTCACAAAGAAAACTGTGGGTTTCCAGAGACATTCATTAAATCCAAAAGAAATGCAGCACTAAAGAGTAGTTTCCCTTCAGTTAAAATAGATTTAAATGTTGAAAACAAAATAGTGATAACTATTGTGTTGATGGTTTAGGGCTTAACCTCTGCTGTACCTTCTGTGACATCTGGTAATGACTGCTTTGAAAAAGTGTTTGAAACATATCTAGCAATTTCATTTCAGGATTTACAGTAAGCTTGAAAGAAATTTTCCTCTGCAGACTGCTCCATCAACAAGGCATCTATCTTCTTGGACTGCCAATGTGAAAGCCATCTCTTCAGAAACTGGTAAGCAGAATCCTGTGAATATAGTTCTGGTATCAGATTTTTATTTTTAAATCTTACTGCCTAGCCATACAGGTCTTCAATTCACATTGCAAGAAAAATCAGTGACTATCAAAGTGTTTATTTCTCCTAAAGGCACAAGGAAATTGTCAAGTCCAAATGCAGAATGAATAGATATGATGGGGAAAGGCTGGGTGAGAATACAGTTGCATTATCACTTGCTGACTGACAGCCTGTATTTTCTGAGAGTTTGAGAATGTACACAACATTACTCCTGGTTTATATTCAGTGTCTGTTAACTTTTATTCTGAAGACACATCTGTGGTAGTAAGACAATTCCAGAGAGAGTTAAATTCATTCAGACAAAAATCAAAATCATGCCCTCTGGCTTTTTCCTACTGTTTTCTTTAATTGCCTCTGTAACCTAAAGCATCATGCAACCTTTTAAAGACACAGGGCTACAGGTTTTGCAAGCAGGGTCATCTCATGGTGTAGCTGACCCAAAGCAGTGTTGCATCCACTTTCTGATCAATTACTTTCTCCATATTCCTCTTCCATTGCCAAAAGGACTAGTCAGAGCTGGGGGATGCAGCAGAATCTACATCTTCTGTGTCCCGTTCATGTGGGGACACTGGTTGCCCACCTTTAACACGTTTCCATTTCATCCTTCTGTTTTGAAACCATACTTTGACCTGGGTGATAAAAAGGAAATAATTACTTACTGACCCAATCTGAGCTGTATAAGCAGACCTATGCATATACATGTGTATCAATAGACAACTGTTTTGTGGAATTCTAGAAGAAAAGGTGAAAGGAACCTCACAAATTTAAAGAATCCATCTCTCTAACAAAGACAGGATTTATTATTTCTAAACTATTCCGTGCAGATATTTCTCTGAGACCTGCAAAGGCAGTAAAAGTGCTTTGCCTAGTATCTGTCTTTATGTCAAATAAACGTGTCAATCCAATGGGCATAGTGCATCTAATGTCTTTTAACATGTAGTCCATCCAGTCTAATGCTTCAGGAATTATAATTTGCTTCACTTAATTGAGCAGTTCCTCTATTATCCACTAAGCTTTGATAAGGAAACCCTGACTGAGATCACAATGAGAGAAGAGAAATATCTCTCTCCATGGAACTCTGCATTTTTGTATTTCCTTATGACCTCAGAATACTGCCTGATCCAGGAAGAATGCATGTATTGAACATATTCTAATAATTTCCTGGTACTTGCAGTCTAAGGTTGTATCTATATTCCATCTGTAAGCCTTAGTACACATCGATATGTCAATGAACAGTGGTAAACAGCTCAGTAGGTATCGGTTATTCCCAAACGTATCTTTAGTTAAATGTATTTTATTAACTACTTGCAGAAATTTGTAACAAATATGTTTTAAAGGAATGTGGAGGCTTTGTGTTAAAATACATCTGTGCCATCACAAAATTACACTCTTGAGTAACATATCTGGGTTTTAGCTTTAGAAAGAAGTTGTGGGGTAGGAAGAGGAATCTGGGGAGGCAGGGATTCGGGAAGTACTTGTCTCTCGGTGAGGTCCAGGTTCACAGCTATCTCGTATCTCCTGAGCCTTGTCAAGTAGTTATGGTGGGCAAATTCGGCTTCCAGCTCCTGTAGCTGCTCCTTTGTGAAAGCCGTCCTTTCCTTCCGTGATTTGCTGCTTGTTTCTCCCTTGTTGCTTGAGTTCTGGTTTTCTAAGAGTCAAGAACATGTTGTGTAATTTGCAGTTACATTGATTTGTGTAAACATGTGTATCGCAGAGGTCTGATATAAACTACTAATTGAAGTGCTCAGTAGAAGTTTGAAGAAATTCATGCTCTGCCCCTTCAAGCCCAGCATGACTAATCAGTGTTGCCAGTCTTGGGTCCAAGGGGGACAGCTCAGAGTCAGGAAAGGGTGTGTTGTCAAAACTGCAGAAGCGCAGGCTGGGTCTGTGAGGTCAGGGATGAGCAGCTATGGGGAGGATGCTCTCATTCCTTGCTATCATTGCATCAAAATAATTTCCTTTCCCATATCTTTACTTTCATTCCTTATACACGTATCACCGCTTTCCCCTGCTCTACCCAGCAACAGGCAGCAAAGCTAGCACTTTGTGTATATGATGTGTAATATCTTATGAGTGCATGGTGACCCTGGTGCAGGGCACAAGGTAAAGTCACTTAGTAAACACCCTAAGCTAGCATATGGGCTGGAAACACTGGGGAGCAGGGAGGCGGGTGGGAACATGGTAAAACAAGCAACACCAGAGAACCAGTGTTCTTTGTATTGTCACACAGTACTCCAGACTACGAGCTTCTTCTAATCCTTGCTAAATGAAAACGGTAAGATCTGGTATCTGTGGGCATGATTGGCCTCAGTATCATCCTTGTCACTGCCCTGAAACTTTCTTGCTGTTTGTGCACTTGGCTTCAATGTGGTTGAGTCATATTTCGAACACAAATTTCAAGCCATAGCCAAAGGGATGCTGCACAAATTATGCTAAAAAGCAAGCACAAACTGACTTTGCCTGAGACTGTGGCAATCTATTTTTCCTTTTTTTCTAGTGTTTTTAAAATTCGTGCTTATGAGGAATCTCCAAGCAACGCAAGGGAAAATGCACTTGTTTCAGTGAGTGAAGCCCAAACTGCTGATCTTTCAGGGAGTCTGTTTTACAAGTTCCTTGACTCTTTCTCCCCTCTTTCTCCTGTTGTTGGCCAGATTTCCTGAACTGAAGATGCTAGTAGGCTTTTTGTTACACTATGGATTTATTAATTATTTTTTGTGTGTAACCAATGTGCAACAAAGTGGTGTGTGTCCTAGCATAATACTTCGACAAATTACATACAAAATGTTGGCAATGAGCACAACATGCAACATCATCTTCTAGAGGTTCCTTTGTTTGCCAAAGTAATAAAGCTGGAAAAATATGTCAGGTGTGGCTGTAGGCTTCATGATTGATCTGATCTGAGCTCTGTCCCTCAGAAAGAGATATCAAACATAGCTCCCATTAGTGACAGTGCACACAGGGAACAGTGTAGCACATGCTGCAGCTGTACTGCTCTCCATTTCAAGGACAATAGTCTTGTTTGCATCAACATTGTTCTTACTACTTAAAAAATCCCCCCCCAATTTGGGCACAGTATGAAAACAAAACCCCAGAAGTTTCTCCCCATGGTTTTGCCCATAGTTGTACAATCCCCTTCATCCTTATCTCTTACTGAACAAACACACCATTACATGTTTCCCAAAGGCTGACAAATGTGACTTTTCCAAGAGTGGTGGGGAAGCAGGATTTGAAGTGTGGATCCCCTGCCGGGAACTTTGCCACCAGCTTCTGGGAGCCTTGGTCTCAAGAGCTTCCCCCTGGGTCTCTGCTCCCTTCGCAAACGTGTGGAGGGGTGAAGCAGCTTTCCAATGCCAGTAACACACTGCAGGAACTAAAGCCACCTCTGTCAAATTAACCTGGGATAAACACAGCTAATGCAACCTGAATATACATGTGAGCTCACCACTTATCCCTGTGCAAAGGACAGTTTCACCAGTCTTTATCTAAAAAAAAAAAGTATTTTTAAGTAGCTAAGTATTTCTGGGAACAGAGGAGGATGTGTAGCTTGGAGGCTGTTTGCCACATGGTGTTGTAAAGAGACATATGGTTATTCATGGCTGGAGGTTTTGTGATATTCCAAAAGTGGAAATTAGGCCTAGTTGCTTCAGAATTTTGACAACAGAATGTAGAAAATGGCAAATGTTTTGTGAAAGGACAAATTGATTTGGAAAGATTTTCCTACTGTACTGCCAGTTTTAAAAAAAATGACCTGCTTAAGAATCACAGGAAGATCTCTACCATGAAGCATGCATACTTGCAGGATCTCAACCACTTTCATTGTGTAGTTGAACTGAACATCTTCCTTTCCCCCGGGCTGCATCAAAATAGGTGTAGGAACCCAAATGGTACATGTTCCTATGATATAAAGTTTCCCCAAAAAACCTGTATCGGGCACTAATACATACATGTGTATGAAGAGGCAACCTGTTCCCTGCAAAACAATGGGCCAAATTCATCCTTTGGAGCTGTTCAACAGAAGTCAGGATTTCTTTGTGCTTACAACCAGTGTAACTGAATTGGAGAATCTGGTCTTATGTATTAGTACTCAATCTCCCTCACTGGGTTGAACTGGTTTACTAAAAATAGCCAGTATAACAATGCTTTGGAGGAAGGCGTAAGGACCCTGCACTGTGCAGATACAGGATTTTGTCACCACAGAGGGTACTTGTATTGCTCAGAGAGCAGCTTAGGCACAGAAGTATGTGGGTTGCTAATGCCTGTGTGTGGAGGATCCTACCTGCTTGTTAGATGTTTGTGGTGATTCACAGCCCAGATCAATGCACCTGGTGTTTGTTATTCTATAAACTACTGTAGATGTCTGAAATTTTACTCTGAGTAGAAGAAGATAAAATAAAAATGTGAAACATCTACACAATGTTGCCTTTTCCCCATACTAAAGTCTTTGAGGGCATATTTATTCTAAGCAATTAAATCAAGTAGTAAGACACTGATAGATTTTGCTGTTATGGAATATAAAATTCTGAAAGCTGTCAGAACATTTGCCACATAAAATGACTTTATAAATGGTGGATTCATTTGGCAGCTGATGTTAAAGTATCCAAAAGTTACTTCAGTGTGCACCACATGGAATAGTGCTCAATGGAGGGTGCAGACAGAGGGTACTGACACAAGACATTCTGCACCCAGACCACTTTAAACTGATCAGGGACTTGCCTGTGCTTTTCTTTTCAGTCTTTCTCAGGTTATCTGCTGCTGCCTGCTGCTGTCTACTCTTACCTACCGCTTTTTATTCCACCATGACTGTAAATGTGATTTGCAAGCTTAGAAAAATCCTCTTTTTCTAAGAGTTAGATTCTAAGTTAGTGGCAAGACTGAGAAAAGTTGGCAGATTTGGGAATTCAGATTCTACACATTTTAATACAAAGTTTTTCAGAATTCTTCAGTCAAGGACACTGTACGTCTAATGTTATTAAAGGAGTCATGCACTGTTATCACATTCTCGTTTCTACTGCAGCATCACTAACATTCTGTATCGTTTCATTCATATAAAATAAATGTATGAATTCTATTATGTATTATACTGCTATTGTTGGAGATCTAGAGATTTAAAGTGCATAATAATGCAAGTACAATTTAGGGCAGGTCAGACAAACTTTACTGAAATTTGATTTGAAAATGTTAATGGCTGTGGCTTGTGGATGGACAGCAGAGGCAGCTGTGAAAGTTAACACTAGGTTAACTTCTATCTTCAGGTCATTTGGTGAGCCTGTGAAGTCAAGATGAATACGGCATCTAAATAACTAAAATCTGTAGTGGAAGGGAAAGGTGTGTGTATGTTTATTCCTGAGCACTTGTAGCAGATGCCACTGTTGTTGCCATAACAAAGCCATTCTTTAAATGTTTTTAATATATCTGTGCTTCAAAGAAAGTTTTAAAGATTGACAAGCTTTTTAATTATTTTTACACCATTCTGCTTATTTGTCTGAGAAATATGTTTATTTTAGACTTTTCTCAGAACACTCTGCAAAGAGCCATGTTCCAAGATCTTCACTGTGTGTCTTGTAATGACTAGGGTCTTCACAAGAACCAAAGGTTTTTGCACACACTAGTACAAATAACGGTAATGCTGTATCTCTATTATAGTTCAGGTAAAATTATGGTGGATAAGGCACCAACTAAAGAAAACAGTTTATCTTGTATGTTTTGTCTTCAAGTGATTTCAATATATTTTTCTTTACTAGCCTAATCTCTGAAGAGAAGGCTAGTATAAAATGGGCTAGTATAAAAAGAGATTTTTAGAAAGGAATGAAGGAAAATTCTCAAGAGGAGAGAAAAGACTTATGTTCTACTTAGAATAAAGAATCACTATGTGATATGTCCAGCTGCATTTCTGGAACAGCTGTAAAAGTGAAGGAAATCACAATAAAATTGCTTGTAGATTTTTTCCCCCTCATTTGTTTTATTTTGTCTGGTGACAGAAAGAAGGAAAATCTTGTAGGAGGGATATAATATAATTCTATCTGCTGTCTGATAAGCAAAGAAGGGAGTGACATGAAAAGCCATGGGATCCACTTCGAGATGTTTTCATTTTTCTTCATTTGCTAGAGTAACAACATCAACAGACAGCAGCAGTTGCTAGAAGGTAGGAGGCACCATACCTTCCAGTGATGTCATTGCTTACAGCTCCCCAGTAAGGAAAAGTATATGGGACAGCAGCAAGCATGAAAAGAAAATGTCAAGGGTGCTGGTAATAGAGAATAGAAGGAACATTTGTCTTCTACTTAAAGGGAAATGTGCTTTGGAAACAGTCTCTTAAAGAATAAGGATATCCCTCTGAGTACACTGAAATCTGCTGTTTACCTATGACTAGCAAATGTTTTAATAAAAGCATTATTCAACTTTTTTTTTTTTTCTTTTTTTAAAGCTTCTTTGAATTTGGGATTTTGGGAAATTTTTGCCCCAAACATGCTTTTTGGATAGAAATGAATTTAAATTCTACAAAGCTCAGTTTCTAAAGAAAAAAACAGTTAACTGAGGGCAGTAAACTAGATTCTGGGCATAAAGAGGTCTGGAATATTAGTAATTTTATGTGTTCCCTCACAGGGAAGAGAACAGAGATTAGGACTAATTGTGTGACAGAGAGCGTGAATACCAGCTTGTTTAAACTGCAAAGTGGGTAAATGAAAGTTGTATTAGAGGTGGCTCTTCTGTATCCAGCCTGTAAAACCTAAAAATAAATAAATAATTTTATCACTGTGTTCTCTACCTGTGAAATGAGGATACTGGAAAATATTCCCCACTTCACAGCAGTGCTGTGGGAAAAAACACACTGTAGCTTGTAAATTAATACTGTAGCAAATGAATGCATATAAGTATCTTAAAATTTAACAGCTTCCTTGGGAGAAAACAATTTTATGAATATGTCACATATCTGGATTTGAGACAGCAGCACACCAGAGGTTGTATAACTATGAAATTATTGAATATTGCACTGTAGAAAGAATGTGTTTTGCTAGCTGGGATGACACAATGAAAACTATCTACACTTTCTGCACTGTTGGACGTTGTACTGATAGGCAAACTCATAGTACTTCCTGTTTTGATGTAAAAACATTTAATATTTAGTGAAGCCAAATAGGATTTATATCTAAAGGGATACTTTGCATCTTGTACTTCTTATGATAAACTGAGACGTCAAAATCCTAGTATAACATTTCCAACTAGCACAGGCAGCTCAAGATGCTCTTTCACTGCTGTTCTCTTACGCTTGGACAAATGGCAAGGTGTGCAATATATAACTCCAAATCCTAGAACTTTCAGCTCAGTTTACACATGCCATGTGGTTCCTGTTTAATTAGAGCAAATGTGTATTTTGCTGGTGAGTAAAATGCCTGGTTCACTAAACAAGATCTGCAGGACTGAAATACAAACACCAGAGGTCATCAAAGAATAAGCCATTTAGTTTCAGTCTTGTTATTTTGTAATTTTCTCCAGTCAAGAATTACAGAATGTTTTCCTCATCAGCTTTATTTCTTAATTTCTATTCCCATAGGTGCTCTGATTCTATAGCCTGTACTGTCCCACAACCCTGATTTCATATCACCTACCTGAGTTTTCCTTTTTTCTTTTGGATGACTTTTTCTCAGTCTCATTTGTAGTATTTACTGGTACCTCATCATCTTCATTCATACCCACTGCTGCACTCACTAGATTTGGGCTGCTGCCTTCTGACTCCCCAGAACCCAAAGCCAGTCCTGGATTTAGTCGTCTTCTGGCCTCAGTTGCTGCAAGATGCCAGTCAGAGTGTTGGAAAGAGGGGTGCTGCTCCACAAACGCTCGCTCCTCACATGGGAAGCTATGGGGAGCAGTCACCAGGCAGGAAGTTGAGAAATCGGAGTAAGTAGCAAAATCTGATTTTTGATGGAAAGAGAATGGTGCTGGTGGGTAGTGGTTCAGCCCTGAAGCTGAGGTGACATCCACATGGGTGCTTCGCAGGCACCCCCAAAGTGGGGCAGGAGCTTGTGGACTGCGCATACAGCTGCTGCTGGTGGGATCCATTTGCTTCCAATCCTGTTCACACTCCAGTGTTCGTGACTGGTTATAGCTCAGGCTTCAGAATCAGAAGAGGAGCAGAGGGAAAATCTTCCAGATTTTACAGAATAGATTTCCTCCCTAAACAACAGTTTGTTTGAGGGTTTTATGCAGTTGCAGATTTGTTACTTTGGGAACTCTTCTAAATATCTTCATTGTCCCAATTGGAAAACAGTAATCAGACCTACTCAGGGATTGCCCCGAACTGCTTCCCAAGGCCTGAAGCTTGCTTCCTTGTGAAGTGCTGGACATGAGTGAAACACTTTTTAAATACTGTGCTGGGGAGAGAGTGACAAGTTTGTGAAGTGAAATGTGAGAGAGGGGAGGGAGGGGTTAACATACATACACTCAGTCCCTCCAACCAAAGCAAAGCAGGCAACTATTAATCATCCGAAACCTTATATGCACATCTAATGGGATTTGCAGATGGAGCCTTTTAAAGAAACAATGTCTGTATTTTTTTTTTTTTTAAAAAGGGAAAGAGCACACAAGAAAGGCTTTAATGTTTCCCTGTAACACTATGAAGTTATTTTTATTGCACTGTTAACAAAATTCCCAAAGTCTTGAATTTGGAAGAAGCCCTAATACAGAATTCAACAGATGCCAAATTTTAAGAACTAAAGTGGGAAATAAAAATAAGAAAGGAGTTCACTCATTATATATAATTCAAGGCCCAATCTTAAGTTAAAAAAAAAAAAATTAAACCTGGCTTGTGCACACATGTAAGGTTTTGAGTGATTGTTTGTTTTGTTAGGTTTGTAACACATGTATTTACTGAGAATTGGAGTTTGCTGCCAGTGGCAGTTATTCTTCCTGTACTATACTTTCCAGGGAATTTTCAAGATGTCACTCCTTCCTGCAAGAAAATCTCCTGCTTTTATGCCAATGGAAGACATGTTTTTCATCTTTCGTTGAAAGTTTTATAGTTTTTCCTAACAGAAAGCAGATTCTTAGACCCTAGAGCCATCACAGTTGAAAAGACATTAACAGGGAATCTGTTCTCAATCTCTTTTTCACGGAAGTGTGGCATCTGGGAATGCCCAAAATTCTGCTATGCTAGGGTTACTGCAACTTCTCTTAATGTTGTTCTCCATGTTTTTTATGACAATTTATGTGTGAATGTGTTCTGTGTTTCCATAATCTGCTTGCAACCATTTCCAATACTTATCCCCCTAGGTCTGTATGTTCTGTGCACTCCTTTTCCCATCTTCCCACCATTTGTGCTGGGGTTTGTGTTCTCTCATAGACAGAGATTTAGCAGATGGACACAGCCTTCATTTTTCACAGAAGCTTAAGTGCTAGTTTTATTTGGCTTCTGTGTAGTTCAAAATGGTCACATTTCAAGGAATTGGGGGGGGTGTGTGTGTGGGTGTGTGTGCTTATCCTGATATATTTGTCATTCTTAGAGCTTAGTCTTTTCCAAGAAATCAAGTGGGTTTAGTCCAGATCTTCCTGAGCAAGAGCATAGTATTCTGTTCTATCACTTGAATCTTGACTTTGTTGCAAAATACTAAATATCTGATATCTAATTAATTCTTTAGGAAGAACTCTTCTAAATATCTAAATCTGTTGCTGTGTGGTATTAGAGAATAAACATTAAAACATATTTTCTACTCACTGTCAGGAAGAAAACCCCCAGACTGCTGCTCTTCTAAAATGCCAGGTTATAATGAATTTATGAATGCTGCAAATATTCCAGGCACTTGCAGAATCTAAGTTAGAGTCCAGAACTTTTTACCAATGCAAATTATTTAATTTACTTTCTCTGTGTGTTATCATATATATAGCACCCACTCATTTCAGTCACACAGGTTAGTAGGGGTTTGTACGTATTCAAGCCTAGGTCTGTTGTTTTTCAGTCTGCAAAAAGATTTAGCTAATTATGTAACATCTGTGTCCTTGCACATATACTGGGGGGGATAGAAGGGAAGGGAGGATTGTCTCTTAGTCTAGTATTCACTTCATCGAGGAGTAGCTTTAGGCTTCCATTCAGGAATCCCTACAAGGTCCAAGCAGAGGTGTATCTGTAGGCCACGACAATTCCTGCACATCACTTTGCATTCTGAGTTGAACTGTTCAGACCGTATTTTCCCAGTGGAGCTTTCACTGCTACTCCTCTAACTTCAGATATGGGAAAAGGAGATGGCGTACCCTTTCCCACTGTGAGAATGCTTGGGCCTTGCACTGCTCCAGCACCTTTTGCAGCTGGTGCCATCACTCCACTGCTCAGCAGGGGCCTGTTTGACCCCTGCGTCTTCCTGACACTTCATTCCTGAAAGAAGAAAGAACAACAATCCTCCCCTCTTGCTGAATCCCATTTGTTGGTTGAGGCAGGCACCTTTAACCTTTGTAAAGTCAACATCTCTTCAGTCAAGCACTGCATTGGGTAGAAAAAAATGGCATGGATGGAGATTAGGTTTTGTAACAAATGCTCCCATAACAAGCTGAAGGCTGGGGAGTGGGTATTTATCCTTGAGCTTTCTATCAGTTCATTCTTTGACTCCCCCAGGAAAGCATTTCTTAGTTGTCTCACAGATGAAGAAGCCTCAGAGAGAAAAAAACCTCCAGGTTCTCCCCTGAGACTTTGAAGAGTAATTTGTATAACTTCATGAAGGTGAAATGACAAAAGTTATGCCATGTCTTAACCTCTTTTTTTCTAGAAAGGCAATTTTCCTTCTCAATAAAGAAAGACCCGAACTATCTCATGCCACTTTAATGTAGCCTTCCTCTAAATCACCTTCATGCTTGTGCCATTTCTTTGAACACAGGAGCTGTGTGGGGCAGGAGCTCTGGTACCGTTCTGGTTTTGCTGCCCCTGACCCAGTACAATTGTGTCTGGTACTTTTGCTCCTGAAATCCAGTGTGATTAATTCTTAGAGTACAGATTTTACTCTGATCACAAGATTTAACTTCGCAACAGAGAGACACTGGCTAGATGTTTATCTCGTCAGAAGTTTAGGAAAAAATTACGCACCTTGTTATGGAGAAAACTCTAGGCACCAAGGTCTACTCTTGAAATTTTATGATCTGCTAAATTTTAAGTTAATAACACCCACCATTAATAAGTAGTGGTCTCCAAAATTACTTTTTAAAAATAAATTCTAAACAATGCCATGCTGTGACCTGCCATGTGTGCAACTGAAGTCACTGGAAAAGGTTTCCTCCATGGGGGTACTGCACCAAGACTGAGGAATTCCTCATAAATGGAAGAACCCTTGTTATTAACTCAATTGCACATTTATAGCACTGATGCAAGAAAGCTGGAGAGCAACAAATAGCTGATACTAAACTCAGGAAGCTGCTGCTTAGTTGCACAAGTTAAAGATGGAAGAAGTTTATTCGGTTAATTGGGTTTATTAGTCTTCTACAGTTAGTTCTTCTATTGTTCTCTATTAGACATTTTCTTAGAATCATAGAATGGTTTGGGATGGAAGTGACCTTAAAACTAGTTCCAGCCTGCCTGCCATGGGCAGGGACAGCTTCCATTAGACCAGGTTGTTCAAAACCCTGTCCAGCCTGGCCTTGAACACTTTCCAGGGTGGGGGTAGCCACCACTTCTCTGGGCAACTTTTTCCAGTGTCATTTTCTAGGATATTGCCCCGACCCAAGTAACTGTCATAGTTTGAGTCTTCCACCTTCCCTTTGGGGAAGACAATTCTTCACTATTTCCTAGTGTCTAGACTCAGTTCTCACTTTTACTGACACCATCTCATTATTCTGAGTAACAACCTGTTGGCACTGTGCAGGTGGAGACCAATTATTCAACTGAGTTTTAAAATTTTGTCTATCTTTGATAAACCATCTTAAACACAAGCCAGATTGTTTTTTTTTTTTTTTTTTTTTTTTTTTTTTCAAGTCAGTCACTATAGTCTCTTAATCATGTTTCTAGTGCTTTGAATTCTCTCCAAGCTGCAGTGTTAGGAATGAACATTCACTAGCACCAAGCTGAGATTGTTGGTACAGTTTCTTTCAGTGAAGAAGGGAGAATAATTGCTGAAGGAAACTGCAGCACTGCAGGATCACGAAGTTCAAGTTTTCAGGGTATTCTGTGTGAGATGATGTGCTTCTCTATACCTAGAACCTACCTTGCAAATGCTCCCAGTTGTTGTATATCTGCTGAAAAGCAGCATTTCCCTAAAGAATGAATGTGATGTTAGGCTAAAAGCCATTGCAGCAAGATATTCAGAAATAGAGATTAAAAAAAAATTTTACTGCTGTCTGAAACTGCTGTGTCAGCAAAGACCCGGTGATAAGTGCACGGATACTGAAACAATATTACACTCATTGGCATGGCAGATGCTCCTGGAGGCAATTCAATATTCCATTAGGAAGTCATCTTCTGCCACACAAAAGTCATTGCAATGTGGGGGAAAGTTGTTGTTGACTATTCACTAAGCTAATCCTCCTGAGCTGGTCTCATATATAAGATTGGTCATTTGGCAAGGTCATATTTGTTCAGAATCTAAATAAAAGATTGGAGCTGGCCCTGGATTTGCCTCATCTGCTGGGAATTTTTGACATGTGAAAGTATTGCAAGAATGGATCATAATAGCATCTCTTAAGTTAATTTGCAGGGGCATTTTGCAGACATGCTTCATGAATATTTAAGTTCTTATTCTTACATGGGAGAAACAAGTTAATTAGCTTTACAGAGGCTGAAGTAGAGCTGTGTCAAAGAGGGTAGTTCCCTTTTACAGCTGAGTAAAGGCCAAGACAGATTGACCTGAGACAGAAATGTGGTACTGAGTAGGTGATATCTCCTACATCTGATTGATTAAGCTTACACCTGCTGAAGTCAGTAGGACATAGGCTTTGACTCTCACAGGGAAGGACTTAGCACCATTGCTTGTCTGCCTGGAGAACTGAAAGTGCTGAAACTAGCACCAAACTGAAAATACCAAAACTGAATTTTAGGCCTCTTTTAACTGCATGTGCACTTATGAAGACAGTTCAGCCTCCATCAGTCATTGTCTTTTCCACTGTAGTCAGCATGAGTTCTCTAGTCAGTGAGGTCCCATGCTAGCAGAAAATCTTTCTTGCAAGAATAAATGTCTTTAGTATACACTGCAGAAAATTCTCAGCTGTAGTGAGCTTCATCAGATACATGCCAGGGTAGGAAGCAGAGCTGCAGCAGGGATTTTTCAGCACTCAGGAGCCAGCATTGAGTCAGTGATGGAGTGAGTCTCCCCAGGGCTCTGCTCACACACTAAGGCTGTTGCAGTTTTGCAGATTGTTTTATATATGAGGACCTCAAAGAACTTGACAGGATTGTATGACTTAAAGCTCATTTTAACTTCTGAGGGAAACAACTGGCCAGTGAAGCTTGGAGATGGGTTAACTGACACATAGAGACATCAAGCAATTCACTGAGGGAA